CTGAATGGCCCATCCGTATTGGCTTCAACCCGATATCAGGATACTTAACCTTGACGTGCCGAACGAATTCGTAGCAGAAACCGTTTTTTGCTGCTTCTCGTACAAAATGGAAAGTTTGTAAAGATGGTCGATCAGAAAAAAGAAAACCTGTCAGCCAAGCAGCTTGGAATCATCTTAACGGATCATGCAAACGACTCACTCGTGATAACTTCACAAAGCTTTGTAAATTATTAGATAAAAAGATGTAGCCAACAAAAAACAGACTTCGAGTTTCGAACATTTCGTAAAACAAATTTTCTAAAACCAAAAACGTAACAAAGTAGAGCAGTATTCCAAGAGCTAAATAAAAAATATCCGTGATATCTTGGCTCTCAACATTGAAAACACGCTAAAGGAAAATTGTGAGAAATATACTTAGCCCGTAGTGAAGTTGTGGACAAAAGGATCTAAGCAGAACGATTCGTCATCCACTATAGTGCAAGTATAGATCGCATCCCTCAAAAAGGCTATGGCTCCTAGAATATTAATGTCTAACCTAATTTCTTTTTTACAAACGAAAAATTAAATATGTATCCGGCACTGCCCAGGAAGGATCGATTGCCGTATCCGAATTGTCAGCAAGTACACCATCAACATGAATCGTTCTCGTTGACGAACTCAGCGATAACATGGAAAAACATTGAATGCACACAATAAAAGCTACATATTTTTGGAGATAATTCTGGTTGCTCTTGCTTAGTTCCCGTCTGTTTGAACCACTTTTTTCTTAACTCATTTATTTACTGCCTTTTCTTCTTAATGGCAGATTGTGATTATAACTAAGCCTCAGCTTAACTGGGTTCAATGCCGATATTGGCTCTCCAGATCAATCCCGTTGACGGGTGATTACTGATGGCAAAAAGATCGATAGAACTAGCTGAGGGACATGCAAAGCGAAGGACCCGGATGGTGTAGTGGTGAAGTGCGCTGCTCCCCGGTAAGGACAACAGCGCGTGTTGGTTCCCCACTGCATACACCTGTGGTCCGGAGTTTTGCAAATATCTCAGCATTTCATACGAGTTATAATTCGAAACATACCCTGCCATTAAGAAGAAAAGGCAGTAAATAAAAGAGTTAAGAAAGCCGTAATAGCTTCCGATGCAGAGAGTTGTGTGATCCAGTAAACTACAGGACGACCTTTAGCTGGTACTTTATCTGCAGTATCCTTATTCGCTCTCTCTTTCTCTCTCCTCGTCCGTCTCGGTGTGTTCGTGAGGTTCCTTGGTTTTGAGAGAACCTAGTCAATACTGTCCCTCTATCGGTAAGTCATCGTGAATGCCATTAATTTCTAAAGCTTAGTAATTCGTTTTACCAGTAATTGGTTGATATGGTTGTTAACTAACTTTTGGCTTAATGCAGTGTTGATCTGACTGACAGTCTTCCACTAACAGAGATAAAATTCAGAGATTTCGCAGTAATATTTCTAAAAAAGCTGCTGTTATGATTTGACGAGGTCGAAGAATCAAATAGTGGTAGAAACGCAAATAGAAGAAGTAAAAAAGGAGACTTCAAGCAGTCACTCCGTGTTCTTGAAGTTGTGTTTCAAAACTTGTTCGAAACTTTAATTTTACAAATAAAATAATTTAAAGAAGCGAAGGTTATTGTCTCGTTAACAGTCCTTTGTCGTTTGACCTGGTATGGGTCGTGCTCATGTGAACGAAGTAACTTATGAACATAACCTATTGCTCTTGACCTTGAAGAAATGTTTTGAATGTTGGCTGCCGTAAAGCCATTAACCGCTTCCCTTTTTAGTGTAGGCAGATTTTGTTGTTTAAAGCGATCCATTAGGATTCATTTTGCCTCATCATCAGTAGACTAGTTCAAGCATGATATTTCAGTTACTCTTCTCATTGCCGACAAAGCGAATCGATGTCACGATGACCGGTAAGCTTTTGAATTTCATTTTCATCAACTGATTGCAGGTATGTTATAAGCAGACTTTGACCAAACCTTGGTAACAATATTCAGTAATTTCCGACATGGTGAGCTAGCGTGAGGTCGGAATATCAACATCGAGACGAGGATCAGCTGTGGACCATCGACTCGGACAGACGCGGTCCTGAGGAAGGTGAAGGCGTCGGGACGTTAGCCGAGTAAAAGTTTATGCTAACGTCCTGCTAGCTCAATCATGTAGGAAACTATTGACAATAATTATCTAAAGACTGACTGTTGGACATGTAGTCCTTTTCATTCCACTTCGGCCTGCTTCAAACTTTTTCTCAATTGATTTGAAACCAAAACCGTTTAACCCTAAATAATGTTCAGGTTGATTCTATCTCCACTATACGAGGGATCTTGAGTCGGTTAGTAGCGAGGTTACGTGGCGCGTCCCAGGTGGCGGATAGGGGTTAATCGCGCACCAAAAGCGACCTTTGCTTTCTTGAGACGGATCCAGGAGATGGACTCCTTGTTTCTGCTGTGCCGATCCATTCTCTATTTACGAGGCGTATTCATGCGGGCGTGTGTGGGTGCGTTCTTGCTTATGCGGCTTGTATTCTATGAGTCAATTCGGCCAAAAGCCTGCAATCAAGTGACAGGGAAGTGTATGGGAAGCGGTAGGAGTCGCATCCAACAAATAAGCTCTATGTCCACCATGGGAGAGCTTGGAAAACTACCCATGAGTATACCGAGCCCCACGTTCAGAGCCCAGCAAGCTATACGTGGGTATCAAAATGCTAAACGCAGTGAGAAAAAAGGGCCTCATTCCCCTCACTCCGAAAGAGCCCCCAATTTCGCAGCGTTGGATAGGACGAGTCCGGAAAGGCGGCTAAAATCTCACTGCCAATGGGGGCTGCCTGGATCACGAAGAACTAAGGTGACGATCTGTACCAACAATGCACGTACACTTGCATCCGAGTCCTCGACGGAAGACTCGCTCGTGCAAGCAAGAAGGGTAAGGCACAACGTCATAGGCCTGGCCGAGAAGAGATGACGCCACCCATTCAACGTCGTCTATGACAGCGGAGAAGAATTGTTCCAGGGAACATGCGACAGTAGAGGAGTCGGCGGGGTCGACGTTCCCTTCAATACGAGTTTGTCCATGAACATCGATTCATTCGAACAGTTTACAACCCGAATCGGACGTTTACGATTAAAAAGATGTTGATCAATACAGGCTTTGTTAATCATCGTCGTTTACGCGCCGATATCAAACTATGACGAAGACGAAGTCAGAGCGTTCTGCACTTCGAGAAGTTTACGAAGGAGATCATACATTCATTAAGGTCATGTTAGTGATTTTAACACTAAGATTGGACCCAGAAGAACGTCTGAAGAACGTCACATTGGACCCACGGATTAGAATGGAACGAGTACGGTGAACGGCTCTCTGAGTTTATCATAACGACAAAGACCATCCATGGTAACTCGCAATTCCAGAAGCAGCACCCTCAACGCTGGATGTGGGAGTCTCTCAATGGAGTTGTGCGATAGTGAAATAGACCACATCATAGTAAGTAGGTTTTACCTAACAGATGTCGCTGTTGTCCCAAAATTCTACACAGGACCAGACCACCGTCTCCTTCGTGCAAGATTCTGTTTCTCGCGGAAAGGAGAAAAAGCCGCTAAATTCAAAAATTGAAGTCTCGGAACCACCGTAAACTGGGACTTTTTCAATTCATTAGTCTGCTGTAAGGAAGATGCCATTGTCGATAATACCGTCGACATGTCGATAACATCTTCGCGTTAGCGCTATGAAATCTGAGAGTTCGAAAGACGTCTGTCTTCAGAAACACTCGAGCTGATACGATAGCGTGAGATCGCACCAGCTGCAGGTAACCACGAGTTAAGGTCCGAACTTGCGAAACAATTCAGACGCGGTAAAAGAAGATCTTGAAGAGAAAAGATCAGCAGTAGTGGTCGAAGCGGCAGAGGCTGGGAAAAGCATTCGCAAAGCCCACCGAGGCTTCGCCAATTACTAGGCCAAGATGATTATACTACGACACCCAGGCGGAACAGTCACAGCGTCCAGAAAGGCAATGGAGAAAATCACTCACGAATACTACTCGGATCTCTTCGTTAACCACGTCCACCTTCCGTGATATGAAATAAAGGAGGATGGATATGTTGTACCACCGGTTTTTCCTTTCGAAATCCGACATGCCATTTCGTGGGTGAAAAATCGAACAGCACCAGGTTCGGGCAGGATAAGACCAGAACACTTGAAGAACCTTCCGCTAGTCCTCGTAAACACACTGGCTCGGCTCTTCACACGTTACCTGTCTGAATGCAAGGTCCCTACTCAGTGGAAGACCAGCAAGACCGTGTTATTGATCAAGAGGGGTGATCTACACAATATCGGCAACTATCGCCCAATCAGCTTGCTGTCTGTCGTCTACAAACTTTTCACTCGAGTCATTCTAAACAGGATTGAAAAAACACTGGAGGAAGGACAGCCATGTGACAAGCAGGGTTTCGAAAAGGATTTAGTACGATGGACCACATCCACACGATTATAAGGCTCACTGAAGTATCGCGAGAATATAAAAGACCGCTCTGTCTCACTTCCATCGATTTACAGAAGGCCTTTGATTCAACTGAGATAGAAGCAGTCAATGAGGCCCTTAATAGTCAGAGAGTCTCTACTCAGTATATAAAGATTGTTCGTGAGCTGTGCAAAAATTTCACAACTATGATATCACCATTCTACAACGACATTAACATTGATGTCAAAAGAGGAGTTAGATAAGGCGATACCACCTCGCCAAAATTATTTACCGCCACCCTCCAAAATGTCATGCGAACATTGGAATGGGATAATATGGGAGTGAAAATCGATGGTCTGCAGTTAAATCATCTTCGCTTTGCTGATGACATCGTCCTTATAGCAGCAAACGTTAGCCATGCAGAACGAATGCTTACCGACTTTGATAAAGCCTATGAAAAAATTGGTCTTCGACTAAATCTTACAAAAAACGATGTCCATGAGGAATTGATTGGCTTCGTATACCCCATTAACACTCAACGGGACGAATATCTCCGAATGCTCCAGTTATGTCTACCTAGGTCGGGAAATCAATATGATGAACGCCTTAGCTCCAGAGCTAAGCAGAAGGAAACGAGCTGCTTGGGGAACTTTCAAGAGCACAGAGGATGTAGTGAAGGGAACAAAGAACACCCGACTCCATACCCATCTTTTCGACTCTATCATACTTCCTACCTTGATGTATGTGTTGGTCGCTGCGTAAGCAGGGTGAAAGACCACTTAGCTTTACTGAGTGCCCAGTTGAAAGGATGATGTTAGGATTACTGCGTGTCACACAAGTGAGGGAAGGAATTCGAAGCTCCGATCTACTTCAAAAATAAAAGATCAAAGATGCCGTTCTATACGCCAAACAGTTAAAGATAAGGTGGGCCGGACACACAATGCGAATGAATGACAACGGATGGACAAGAGCCGTTAGTGATAGGATTCCTCGGGATGTCAAACGTACTGCAGGAAGACCACCAACCTGATGATCAGAGTTCTTCACGAAGAGCCTAGAAAAAGAATATGATGCTCGACGAGTCCCTAGAGCGAGCAGTACCTGCTAGGCTAGTCTTGCACGCGGCAGGGAAAAATGGAAGATTTACTGACGCCCGCTCGAGTCACTCGACGATCAACGGTTCTACATATGATACAGGTGATTATAACAACTTTTGCTAGTAATCGCTACTAGTAAGTGTTCGACCGTCAATCTCGGAATATCTTTACGGTGAACACTTCCAGATATCCAGTGCGATCGACATCATACTGGATCTGCTTGTGAATGGCCAGTGTGCGTTCATGGATACGTGGATCCACTCCGACGAGTTTGCTCGTGCTTTAATTATTTTGCTCCTCCTTTCTGTGAATTCTGCCTTCCTGGTGAGTTTCGATTCACAAGTAATCGTATGCACGGTTTCTGGACATTTATTATGTAGGAAAATACCGACAAGAAACCGCACCCCCAAAGAGAGGCAAAAGTATCAAGTTTCTCGGCGCATTTTGTGTGATTACGTGGAAAAGCTTGTCATGGTGTCGACTGCACACGGAACATTTTTCTGAATCGTTTCCTTTCATCAAAGTGGTCGCTGTAGGATTCTGGGGAGAAGCATGTGACCGCAAAATACTGCTATCTTTGGGAGATCCACGTCTGCCCGCATTCTTCGCCCACGTGATTGTTTACTCGATCGTCGTCATCTTCATGCTCTCTGCGTATTATGCATGGAACTCGTAAGTTTATTCTAAAAATTTTCTTTCATGCACCAGCTCATCGAAATTCTGACCACGGAAATCTCGAGTGACTCGAATACTCAAAAAATAATTTCGTATCTAACCGAACTAGCTGAGAGAACGTAGAGCAAGGTTCTCTGTGGTGCAGTGTGTAATGCGCGAGCCCCCGAAAAAAAATCGTGGTTCGATCTGGCCCGAGGTCCAAGTTTTGCGAATATCTCAGCATCGTAGTGGTTGATTTCGCATAATACCCTGCCGTGAAAATTGTAGTAGGTAGTAAATAATTAAGTGTACATTGTAATTTCGTACCTTTTTTCACTCCGTAAAGAATTTCGTCCCTCCCAACGGTTAACCACCTCGTCATGGCTGGGAGGAAGTCCGGGATGTCGGACTGCGATGTACAGTGGAGGATACGTCCTCCAGGCAGGTTCACCTAAGCTGAGACAGCGTCCGGCGTTTCCATCGGGAAGCTCGCTAAGAATAAGCCAATACCAGGATCCGCCACTGTTTTGGTATCAAATTAATGGCATGGTGGCAAATATCCCTCTGATCCACAAGGGCAGCGACTGCCTGTGTTGGTGACTACCTGACACTGACTTTGGTCAGGCTGACCTTGGAACACCAGGGAAACGTAATGGCTAAACCAGCAAAACTCCAAAAATGGAGAATATGCTGGGGCCCTCGCAACCAGTGAGGACGGGCCGTCCAAGTATCCAAGTAAAGAATTTCGTGAAACTGGAAGTGGAATAAAATCGAATTTTGGACTTCTTGTGAGGATATTTACCACTTCTTGGCATCACGACAATCCAGAAATTCCGACCCCTTGTCATAATTTGTGTTTGTTGCAGCAATAGTTTTAAAAGACCTCGCTATCTTCACTTAAACATGATTTGTTTACTAAGACCGTTCCGCTCTGCAGCAATCTGTTCACATACGCTGAATTATGAAATCTGTACAGCATTTCAGCCTGCCTTGTTTCACTTTTTATTGGATGGAATTAAGAGCACTGAAGTGTTTTGAAACTCTTGAAATCCTGCTGACGGGTGATTGATGATAGCACCTATAAGTTAATAACACGGCTGAGAGACAGGCGAAACAAAGGACCCGCATGGTGGTGATGAAGGTGCTACCCACCGTGAAGAGTAATAGCGCGTTCATTCCCCACCGCAGATACCAGCGGCCCGCAGTTTTGCAAATATCTCAGCCTCATTACGTTCTAAAACTATTTTAAAAATCTAGATTGTATTCAGGTACCGTTCAAAACCTTCGTGTTATCAGGAAATGAAGCGGGAACCGCCACTTCCATATTCTATCATCTGAATTGCCATGCCATTTGTGAACAACGGTTTCTTGCTCAACAAAAACTAGAGTTTCGCTCATGAATCGCTTCATATTACTCGCTTGTATATCAAAATGTTTCAAGAGTATTCTCTTAGAAGTAAGTGTTCACGAAGATTTCCTCATACCTTGTACATGAATCCAGACAGAAAGTTGCATTCATCGTTCTCATAGAGAACTTTATCGGTGAGATTTTTTCTGTCGCTCTTCAGAACTTAGTATGATAAACATTTTACTGTACTCTTTCTTGATATTTCAAGCGAATCGAAATGTGCAGCACTGGTTCGACTTTGAAAGTGGTATCGCCGTCGATTCCCTTTTGTGATTCCCTTCTTCTTCACGTAATCTCTATTTAATCAAGCCAGCTACTAAAATGTCGAAGCATCACAATATGGCAAATATTTTTTACTACATGAACTAAAACATGGCACGTGTGGCGCAGTGGTCGGAGGCGCCTTGCCACACAAACGTAGAATCGATCCCTGCGCCCCTGGCCTACCAAGTCCCCCATCCCACCGGGGTTGGCAAATTGGTACCAGACCTGTCTGGAAGGATAGTAGCACTGGCTCTATGCATAGGTAGACCACAGCAAGTCATTGTAAACGCCGGATATGCATTTAGTCACCTTCAAACGATGCTTAATGAGGACAAATGCATGGCGCATCCCTCAGGAATTGATCGACGCCGAGAGCTTTATCCTTTTTTAAATAAGGCTTTTATCACACTGATTACACAGAACTACCAATTTTGAGTCACAGTTTAGAATTTTTGAGTTCAGTGCAACTCGTCTGGGTTAATCGTTTTTTGCCACCTTATGGGAAAGATGTGTTCATTGGGTGCTGAAAATCTGTTACCTACAGCAACGTAAGAATGTAATAATATGTGCATTAATTTCATGGACGTGGTCAGGGACCCTGAAAAACAGTATGGCACTTTTATCAATCAATCGAGAGAACATGAACGAGCGCTTGAAGCGGTTGTCGCAGAAATAAAACTAGTAGCGAAGCTATGAACAATCCACCGATCCGAAGTTTTCAGCAACCATTTTTGGTGACCATCTGAAAAAGATCCATCGCAGGTTTTTCGGGGTTCTAGGAAGAAAAGTTTAGTCGGACCAGAAAATTGCTGTACCTTTAAAAAAGTACTAAAAACTGTACAATATCCGTAAAACGGGCCACTCAAGTATCAAGCATGCAATTTGACTACTTTGCCGCTCTTGGAGGAGTAGAAAATGTCCTTCAGACCTACTCCATGGTCAAAGAGAAACTGATGGATACACGAGCGCGACCATCTGGTCGCATCATAAGCATATAGTGATCATGAAAGATTTACGAAGAGTGCTAGTTGAAGAGTAAATTAGTGTGATATTGTCTAAAATAACTAACCAACTAACAAATGGGCGCGTGTGGCGCAATGGTTGGAGGCACCGCTGCAACACATACGTGGAATAGATCCCCGCTTCCATGGCCCACCAAGCTCCCCATCCCTCCGCGGTCGGCAAATTGGTGCCAGACTTGTCTGGGAGAATACTAGCACTAGCTCGATACTTCGGTAGACCACCGCGAATCACTGCAAAAGCCAGATATGTATCCAATCACCTCCAACGATGCTTATTCAAGTCGAATGCATGGCGCATCCCTCGGGGATTGATCAACGCCGAGAGCTTTATCGTTTTAACTAACCAACTAGTTGCAGTCATTGCTAATATATCCAGTAAATGAGTTCGATCTTGATTAATCCCTTTACAGATGTGCAGTGCATTCCATCTTAAGTGGCATCGTAAAGGTGAGTGAATGCATATTTGAACTGCTCAATGATTAAGAACCTTGGAAGGTCTTAAGAAACCTTTCGTGGAAAAGCTCAACCATTTTGTCGCTGGTATTTCTTGCTAAGTGCTTTGCATCACATAGCAGCAGTTCGATTTAATCCACTATTTTTCGTTAAGACTAAATGGGTGTCAAGAAAGACTGAGTTTTGTCATTCTAAGTACGTCGTCACGTCCGACTTCTGATTGTTGGTCCGATCTTTATAAACTGTCGCCGATATTGTGCAATAAGGGATGCTCTTTCCAAGTCCGTAAACCCTTTTTTCCTACACGTTAGAATATGAATGAAAAGCGAAGAGTGTTGGTGTTGAAAAGGTGGGCACAGAGTCAAGTGTTCTTTGTTCTATTCACTACATTCTCAGTTCTCGTGAAAGCTCCCCAAACTGCTTGTTCCCTTCTGCTCAACTGTGGAGCTAAGGCGTTCATCATATTGATTTCCCGACCTAGGTAGACATAACTGGAGCATTCGGAGATGTTCGCCCCGTTGAGCATTAATGGGGCATACGAAATCAATCCATTCCTCATGGACATAGTTTCTGCGAGATTTAGTCGAAGACCAATTTTTTCACAGGCTTTATCAAAGTCGGCAAGCATTCGTTCTGCTTGGTTAATGTTTGGTGTTATAAGCACGATTTCATCAGCATAGCGAAGATGGTGTAACTGCCGACCATCGATTTTCACTCCCATATTGTCCCATTCCAATGTTCGTATGGCGTTCTTGAGGGTAGCGGTAAATGATTTTGGCGAGGTGGTATCGCCTTATCTAACCCCTTCTTTGACGTCAATGATAATCTCGTTGTAGAATGGTGATATCCTGGTTGTTGAATTTTTGTACAGCTCACGAAGAATCTTTATATACTGAGCAGGGACTCTCTGACTATCAAGGGCTTCCATGACTGCTTCTATCTCACTTGAGTCAAAGGTTTTCTTTAAATCAATGAAGGTGAGACTTATGTCATCGTGTGAATGCGGTCAATCGAACTGAATCCTACTCGAAACTTTGCTTGTTCAAATTGCTCTCCTTCGTTCTCTGTTATGTCAATCCTGTTTAGGATAAGTACAGTGAAGAATTTGTAGACGACAGACAGCAAGCAGATTGGGCTATAAAGGATAAAAGGATAAAGCTCTCGACGTTAACCAATCCCTGAGGGATGCGCCATGAATTCAACTTCATTAAGCATCTTTTGGAAGTGACTGAGTGCAAATCTGGCCTTCACAATGACTCGCGGTGGCCTACCGATGTATCGACCCTATCCTCCCAGACAAGTCTGGTAGCAATTTGCCGACCTCGGAGGGATGGAAGGCTTGATGGGCCGATGGGGCATGGGTGCGGGAATCGATTACACGTGTGTCGCAGTGGCACCTTCAATCACTGCGCCGCGCGTGCCCTTGAGCAATAGTTCCCGGTATCATGGAGCTCACCTTTCCTGAACAATAGCACGGCGATGCTGGTCTTCCATTGAATAGCAACCTTGCATTCTGAAATGTACGTGTGAAGAGGCAAGCCGTGTGTTTACAAGGGCTGGCGGAGGGTTCTTCATTTATTCGAATCATATCTTGTCCAGACTCCTGGTGTTGTTCGACTTTTCACTGAAGAAATATCACGTTGGATTTTGGAAAGTAGGACGAGCCGGTGGTATTACATATCCGTCCTCCTTTATTTCATACAAGTGCAGGAGGACGTCGTTAGTGAAGAGTGTTTTCTAAGTTCAGACTTTAGTTGACGGTTGTCTGCAGCTCGTGCGATTCGACCAAGTGTTTCTGGAGCAGACGTCTCTTGGTGACTCATTCGAACTCTCAATTTTCATTGCGTTACCGTGAAGGTGTTGAATGAGTCGATCGCATTGTTCGTCGATATTATCGACAACGGCATCTTTCCAATAGCGGACTAGTGAATTGAAGAAATCTCAGCATGCGGTGGTTCTGGGACTTCCGTTCTTGACTTTAGCGACTTTTTCACCTTTCCACGAGAAATAGAATCTTGCACGAAGGAGACGGTGGTCTGATCCCATGTGGAATTTTGGGACAACAGCGACATCGGTTAGGCAAAACCCGTTTGCTATGTTATGGTCTATTTCGTTATCGTACTCTCCATTGGGAGATTTCCCACCCAGCGCTGAGGGTGGGGCTTCTAGAATTGCGAGTTACCATGGATGGATGGTCTTTGTCGTCATGATAAACTCAAAGCCGTTCACCGTGCTCGTTCCATTCTAATGTGTGAATCCTAATGCGACGTTCTTCAGACGTTTTTCTGGGTCCAATCTTAGTGTTAAATTCACCAACATGACCTTAAAAGAATGTATGATCTCCTTCGTAAACTTCTCGAGCTACAGAACACTCCGACTTCGTTTTTGTCATTTGATGCCGGCACGTAAACGACGATGGTTGACAAAGCCGGTATTGATCAACATCTTTTTAATCGTGAACGTCCGATTCGGGTTGTAAACTGTTCGAATGAATCGATGTTCATGGACAAACTCGTGTTGAAGGGAACGTCGACCCCGCCGACTCCTCTATTGTCGCATGTTCCCTGGAACAGTTGTTCTCCGCTGTCATAGACGGTGTTGAATGGATGGCGTCATCTCTTCTCGGCCAGGCCGATGACGTTGTGCCTTATCCTTCTTGCTTGCATGAGCAAGTCTTCTATCGAAGAGTCAGGTGCAAGTGTGCGTGCATTGTAGGTATAGATCGTCACCTTTGTGCTTTGCGATTTGGATAGCCTAGAGTGGCTCTGAGATTTAAGCTGCTACGCCGTCCTAGTCCTAACCAACGCTACCGAATCGAGGGCTGCTTCCAGGTCAGGGAAATGGGACCCATTGATTTCACTGAGTTTGGTTTTTGATATCATCGTTTTCCTTGCTGAGCTCTGAACGTGGGTGGCGGATATACTCATGGGTACCTTGCCAATCTCTTCCAGAGCGCACGAAGATTTTATTTGGGCTCCTATCCGCTTCCCATCCACTTTCCTGTTACTTAGTTGCAGCCATTTGAGCGAATTGACTCGTAGAATACAATCCACATAAGCAAGAACGCACCCACAGTGCCAAATCAGCGCGGCAGAAGCAGGAAGTCTATCGCTTAGATCCACCTGTGCCTCAGGGAAGCAAAGGTCGCTTTTAGTCCGCTATTAACCTCCTGTCCGCCGCCACCTGAGAACGCGCAGCGTAGCCTGTTGACTAACTGGCTAAATAATCCTCGTACGAGTGAGAACCGTGGCCGGTAAGAGTAGTACGGTTTTATCTACATGCCTATCCGGCCATTCCAGCGCCGTCGTAGCGAAAAATAAAGCTTTCTATTCTAAACTTTTTTTCGGCTTTTGAACTGCTATGTTTAATATAGCATGCTTTCGAATTGTAGATGAATCATTTATTTGTTGGAAGCCGACTGCGAGCCCTTTCCCGTAGTTCAAAGCCATGTTCAACCTTTGAGCAAGAAACGCTTGCATATATGGCAGTACAAAGACAGGGAGCTAATCTTCAAAAAGTAGTGCAGTCCGAGAGCAAAAACAAGATGGCCTTTCGTCTCTATTAAACCTTTGTTCTCCGCAAGAGCCACGCAGCTCGGCAAGTGATCGGCTACATATTCTTCAGAAAAGAGAATTTTTGCGATTCACACATTACAATTTGTAACATATATTCAAATTACACGTGTACTCTAGAAATACCCTAAATGCATAGGTAATCACATGTCAAGCGATGCCCTATTTTCACAATTATTTACCCGATCAAGCTAAAGAAAATACCTATTGAGCTAAATAAGGTGGAACTTGGTTGAAAATAGTCTTTGTCAAATCTGACCATTTTTTCAGCCAGTTTTGTACACTCGGAAGGTAGCGTTCATCAACAGTTATTTGCCGTAGTTACCAAGCTTTCTTCTTTTCGGATAGGTTCTTGGCACTTTCTCGCATAAATATATGGTCCGAAACGGAAAAAAGTAGGCAAGGAAATTTTGTGAGTGTACCATCGTCGCAGCAGTTTTTGTTGACCCAAATAAATGCTGCAGTTTTTTTGGGCGGCCTGGTTCGTTGCCGCGGCAACCGTGCTGCAGAGAGGTGCTGCAAGCCTTAACGTCCTTATTAATGTTGCGCTTATTGTATGTTACCTAAGCCAAACTTTATCAGTTAGCCACAAGTTTTTCCCATGTGAGGCAGAACGAAAAGCATAAAATAAGTCATTTTAGACCCCTTTTTTCTCAAGAGACGAATAAATTAGTGCAACGAAGTTAGTGTGTTTATCCACAGAGACGATCATGTTGTGCACGAGAAACTTCTAAAGGACCGTGTTGGGAGATTTTTTGTCAATGATAATTTGAAAGAATTTCAGTGCCTTCTTACAATTGGGCCAGTTCGAACGTCATGTTCGCATCATTCAGTTACCATGACTAGTCACTCAGATTGAAGGAGATCTAAACAGCTTGTTCCATTATGGTCGAAATACCTCAATCAGTTTAGTCTGCCCGACTACGTCGTAATCTATCTTTCATTCCTGCATGACCAAGTACTCTACGGAACACTAAAACGCAAGTGAGCGTACATTGCAGGTACAGATCGTCACCTTAGTCCTTCGAGGATTAGGCAGCCAAGAATGGCTTTGAGATTTTAGCAGCCTGTTGGTACTCGTCTTACTCAACATTGCCGTCTCGGGGGCTCCACTGGAGTCGGAATGATAAATCCTTAAAGAGCACGGTGACGATTTGTACCTACAATGAAAGTTCACTTGCACGTGAGTCCCGATAGTACTTGTTAATGCAAGCAAGAAGTATAAGGCACGACGTTGTCGGACTGACTGAGACGAGAAGAAACCACCCGCACAACGCCGTCTATGACACCGGAGAAGAACTGTTTTTCGGAACATGCGTCAGTAGAGGAGTCGGTGGCGTCGGTGTTCTCGGCAGCACGAATCTGTACATGAACATCGATTCATTCGAACAGCTAAAAATCCGAATCGGACGTTTACTATTGAAGAGATGTGGATCAATACCAGATTTGACAATCTTAGTCGTTTACGCGCCTGCATCAAACTATGACGAAGAAGAAGTGGAAGCGTTTTATATAAACTTGGAAAAGTTCTACAGAAAACATGTATTCTTTAGGGTCATATAGATTTTAACGCTAAAATTGGACGCAGAAGAACTCTTGAAGAGCGTCACATTGGGACGCACAGAGTGGAATGGAACGCGCAGGGTGAATGGTTCTCTAAGTTTACCACGACCACCAAAACCACTCATGGTAACTCTCAATTCCAGAAACTCCGCTTTCAACGCTGACCGTGACAGCCTGCCAATGGAGAGTACTATAACGAAATAAAATATATCATAGTAAATTGAAGGTTCAGCCTAACCGATGTCGCTGTTGCTCCAAAATTCTGCACGGGTCCAGACTATTGTCTCCTTTGTGGAAGATTTTGTCTCTTGCGAAGAGTCAGAAAGCCCCCAAGTTCAAAAAAAATGAGGTCTCAAAAACCGGTATAAACTGGGATTTATTTCAAGTGGACGCTTGGAAAGATGCCGTTATTGATAACATCGGCGAGTTCGAAAGTCACCAAGAGACGTCTTTCTCCAGAAACACTCAAGCGGATACGACAGAGTGAATTGGCACGAGCTACTGGAACCGCCAACTCACAAGAGAATCTGCAAGGCAATGCAGAAAAGCGGCGAAAGAAAATTTTGAATAGAGAAGGCCAAGAGTT